AAAAATAACAAATGTTTGTAAAATACATTTTTACAATTTTTTCAGCGTTCCATAGCAACAATCAATATTTGTGTCTAATCATAGCTGATTTATTGATGTTATAGAGTGCTATCAATATCTTCACCTATAGAGCCAATAAATACACTATTAAATCTAATTTCTTAAAACTTATGTATATATTTGATAAAACTTTTATATTTTAGTTAAATTTAAATAAAAATCCTAAACATATTCAAACAATAATGATTTCAATGTTTTGGCTTTCAATTTTTGCGATCTCATGATGAGAATCATCAATAAAATTCTATATATATATACTCATGCTGACAAGTAAAAAACAAATTAAATGCCGGCTCACCATGAGCATTCAATTTGCTTTTAAAGTTGCGAAGAGAGAACAAGTTATTTGACATCAATTAAACGCTGTGCTCTTTACCAAATAAACAAACCGGCAGCAGTCTAATCTCTCTCAGTCTCTCTCTCTCTCACTCTCTCTCTCTTATATTATATCGCCACAAGGTTGAATACATAGAAATGATATTATAAGTCTTTATATGGTATTTAAGCTGGCGTAATGCGCATTGTTCAAACAATATTCGTCGCTGATTGAGAGAAATAGAACGTTCTATTCGACGTCTCTGACATGGCTTTGGGTTTGCTGCTGTTGATCGGACTAGGGACGCTTATCTTCTGGCTATATAGGCTTAATAAGGATTACTATGTGCTGGCTTTCTTCGCCAAGCGAGTGCGTACTAAGGATGGACGACCCGTGGAGAGTATAGCTCCGTTATCTAAGGGGAATACAATTTTTGGCAATTCGTTCGACTTGTATGGCATGGATGACGGTCAGTAAATTGGATGATATCTATCCATCAGAACAATTTATTTACGGTTCATTTTCCCATCAGTGCAAGTTTTTGATGAAGTCCACGATCGCGCTAAGCAACTTGGCTGCAGTTACTTGGAATATGTAATGGGCACATCTGTGTACAATGTAGTCGATGCGGAGAACTTTGAAGCCATTGTGAACGATAAAGAACTATTGACAAAGGGAATTGTGTACGATTTTATGCAACCAGCTCTACGATTAGGCCTGCTGACATCATCAGGTTAGTTACACAATGCCACACAATATAGACTACATTGTATTCTGATTAAACATATTAATTTCAGGCCAAAAATGGCATTCACGACGCAAATTGCTTACACCCACCTTTCACTTTAATATATTGGAGCAATTTAATGATGTTTTCAAGTAAGTTCAACTAAATGTTATGCAAACTATATGTGATTTTAGTTTAAATTACATAAAAATTCAATTGAAATTTAAATTGATTCTCTTTTATTTTAATTTTAATTTTTATTAAATTTAATTTAGAGCTGAGAGCTTGAAATTCGTGCAACGATTCGAGGGCAATGCAGAGACTACCATCTCTCTAAGCGAACTCATACCCAGATTTACTCTCAACAGCATTTGTGGTAAGCTTGTTCAGCTAATTACTTTCTCTACCACTTACTCAATTCATATACACAACAACAGAGACAGCCATGGGCATCAAGCTGGATGATATGGCTGCTAAGGGAGATCGCTATCGAGAGAACTTCGGCATGATCGAGAAGCGATTTATAAAACGAGCAGGCAATCCCTTCTTTTGGAATAATACCATCTATAATCTATTTGGACCCAGCGACGAAAAGAAATTTTTAAAGGAAATCCACGATTTCTCTAGCGAAATTATTGCCAAGCGCCGAGAACTATTCGCACAGGAGATTAAGGATAAGAAAGGCTGTGACCTAGAAGAGGAAGATATGTGAGCTAAGATTCATTCATTCATTTGCTGTGAAATGCTAATATCATTATATTTCAGATACATCAAAAAGAAGCAACGATTTGCTATGCTGGATACTCTTATCATGGCAGAAAAGGATGGATTAATCGATCATGAGGGCATTTGCGAACAAGTGGATACCCTTATGTTCGCAGGTTTTGATACCACCTCTATTGCTATTATATTTGGGCTAATGAACATGGGCATATATCAGAAACAACAGGAGCTGTGCTATCAGGAGATTTGCGAGCATATAGCTGGTAATTTAATGTGAATCATCTATCAATCGAACTCGTTTTTCATCATTCGGTCTTCCAGATGACTTTAGTAATTTGGACGTTAATCAACTGTCGAAACTCAAGTATTTGGAATGTTTTATTAAGGAAACGATGCGCCTATATCCATCAGCACCCTCTATTAGTCGACAAACAACAAAGGATACAGAACTTGCCAATGGTCTAATTTTACCAGCTAATGCGCAAATCGTATTGAACATGTATGAATTGCATCGTAATCCCAAATACTGGAATTCACCTGAAGAGTTCCAGCCCGAACGCTTTCTGCCCGAGAACAGCAAAGACCGTCATACCTATGCCTACATGCCCTTCAGTGCGGGCCAACGCAATTGCATAGGTACGTATTATTGGATTAAGCATGTGAATCTGTCTTAGCTCAATTTGTGTTTCTAGGTCAAAAGTATGCGATGCTGGAGATAAAAACATTCATGACCGTTATAATTAAAAGATTTAAGATTATGCCTGTCTTCGATCCCAAGGATTTGCGTTTAAGTTTGGGTATCACATTGGGCTTTAAAAATAATATTACAGTCAAACTAATCAAGCGTAATGCCTAAAAGTTGAAATCCATATTATAAAAAACTTGTATTGATCATCGAATTGGCTTAGTAGATAATAAATTCAGTTATAAGATTTTCTTTGTGATAACATAAAATAAAAAGATTTTACTGATTACTTTAAGTGTTTTATACACACATTTTATAGGTAATGGAATATCGTTCTGTTTATTGAATCATATGTTCGATAAGGTATGTGAACGATTGTAATTGTTTGTTTACTTATCTGTAGTAGCTCTTCATAAGAGTTCAGAGAATTTAATTTCATGCTCTCTTAATTCTCTTCTATTATTCTCTTTTAATATTGAGGCATTCTAAATTTAGCAGCAAGCTATTAAGCTTGAACTTGAAATCATAAATTATTTGAAATTTGTTTTTGGGTTTGCTGATTTGGCGGAAAGGTGTGTAACAGACGGCTGCCGGCTTGGCGGACCTTAAATGCTCATAAAGTCTTAGTTCTCAGAATATACACTAGGCTATATTCTAATCGGGCAAGAATTTAATAATTAATTTTTTTTTAATTGTTTTTAATTTTTGATTTAAATAATGCTGTTTTATTTAATAATATTGTTTTATTGCTCCAAACTAATATTTTATTTCCAAATATTTTAATATTTTATGGAAACGGTAAATATATATGTATATATCATACATCTTGTATCATTCGTCTAAATCACCTAATCATGATGACTAGACTGATTTTCAGTCCAAGGACTAATATCTAACCATGATAAGACAAAACAACAACCTTCTATAAAAGAGTTATTTTTAGCGCAGACTGCTTATACATATTTATACTTTACACTTCAAGTAGCTAGTTTATATTTTAACATGTATAATTGCTGTCAGCAAACAACTGAAATTAGATATAATTAGAGTTTTGCTGATAGAATACGGTTGTTATCGTCACGCCTTATAAACACACCGACCTATATAATATATTACTACATTTCTAGTATAATATAGAGTCTAGCGGCGTCTTACTGAACGCCGGCAACTCTCTCAAGCAAATACATATATAATCTTAGTTTTTTTTTTTTTTATATATATACAAAGATAATGTTCAGCGTCCAATCAACCGTTTTTAATAAATTGTAGTTCTAGTTCAGTCGGTAATTCACGCTTGTTGGGAGAGGTTATACGCGTTGTTCAACTGCTTTGCAATGGGTCTAGGTTTGCTGTTGTTGATCGGATTAGGTACGCTTATCTTCTGGTTATATAGACTCAATAAGGAATACTATGTGCTGGCCTTCTTTGCTAAGCGAGTACGCACGAAGGATGGACGACCCGTAGAGTATATAGCTCCGGTAGCTGAAGGACGCACTATATTCGGAAACTCTTTCGATTTGATTGGCCGAAATGAGGGTGAGCAAAATATTCTTCTAGTTGTCTACCTAGTCAATTATATTTCCTTCTCTCTCTCTCTCTCTCTCTCTCTCGCAGCTGAGGTGTTTTCTGATATGCGCAATAGAACCAAGAAAATGTGTCGCAGCTATATAGAATATGCCATGGGTACATCCATATTTTGTATCATCGATGCGGACAACTTGGAAGCCGTGTTAAATGATCAGAACCTGATAACCAAGGGTATGGTGTATGAATTCTTGCAACCGGCGCTACACACGGGCTTGTTGACATCAACAGGTAGGCGATATACAGTTAATCATAGTATTGCGCTTGGTTAAACATAAACATAAACAATTTCAGGTCAGAAATGGCACTCAAGACGCAAGATGCTCACGCCCACATTTCATTTCAATATCTTGGGGCAATTTGCCGAGATTTTCAAGTAGGATTCATTATTTGATCTATAAAACTTAGTATTGATATCTATTTTAATTTTGCATATAGAGGCGAGAGTTTGAAATTCGTGCAACAATTTGAGGGAAAGGACGAGGTCTCTATCTCCCTAAGTGAGCTCATACCAAGGTTCACTCTTAACAGTATTTGTGGTAAGTTTGTTAAGCTGAATGTTTACTGTAGCTTATCAATTCATATTCACCCACAGAGACAGCCATGGGCATCAAGCTGGATGACATGGCAGCCAAGGGGGATCGCTATCGCCACAGCTTCAGCATGATTGAAAAGATATTTATAAGGCGATTCAGCAATCCAATTTATTGGAGCGATACTTTGTATGAACTGTTCGGCTCCAAGGAGGACAAACGTTTCTTACAGGATGTTCATGATTTCTCTAGTGAAATTATAGCCAAGCGCAGATTACTTTTGGCACAAGAGGCAAAGGAAAGGGGAAGCAGTCAAGCGGCAGACGATGATATGTAAGTGAAAGCGATAACATTATTTGCTCTATTTGCTTACAAGATAATTTCATTTATGTTTATTCAATCTAAATTTAGTTATATCAACAAGAAACAACGCTTTGCCATGCTTGATACTCTGATCTTTGCTGAAAAGGATGGCCTAATCGATCATGCGGGAATTTGCGAGGAGGTGGATACACTCATGTTTGAGGGCTTTGATACCACTTCCATTGGCTTGATATTTGGACTTATGAACATGAGCTTATACCAAGATAAGCAGGAACTGTGCTATCAGGAGATAAGCGAACACATTGCTGGTAAGACTTGTCTGACGAGCATTATAATCAGTTGTTAACCCATATGTTTTCCATACCAGATGACTTTAGTAACTTGGACCTTAATCAGGTCTCTAAACTAAAGTATCTGGAGTGCTTCGTTAAGGAAACGATGCGACTGTTTCCCTCGGTGCCAATTATGAGCCGTAAGACTCTAAAGGAAACTGAACTGGCCAATGGTCTGATACTGCCGCCAGGAGCGCAGATTGTTATGCATATCTTTGATGTACATCGCAATCCAAAGTACTGGAGCTCACCTGAGGAGTTCCAGCCCGAACGCTTTCTGCCCGAGAACAGCAGAGATCGTCATACCTATGCCTATATACCTTTCAGTGCGGGTCAACGCAATTGCATAGGTAAATTTAATTGAATGAGGAATATATAAAATGAATATATAAGTTAATTATTATTCATACATATTTCCTTCCCATAGGTCAAAAGTTTGCCCTGCTCGAGATGAAAACACTGCTCATCGTAATACTCAAAAAGTTCATTGTCTTACCTCTGGTTGATCCCAAAGATATCGTTTTTCACACTGGCATCACATTGCGTTGCAAAAATGATATTCGAGTGAAACTAGTGAGACGTAGTTAGCTTTTTTAGCTATTAAGTAAGTGTAAATTTGCTTTGTCAATACGCTGATATTTTAAGCTGTTTTTGTTGTGAATGAGATATAATGTGCTGTAAGCTTGAACTGAATTAAATATATTGTTTCAATTTTATCTTTTTTATCTCTTCTGGGAGCGAAGTTTAAAGTTCTATAAGAAATATAAATAATTTGTTTTTAGCTCAATTATGATGATCGATTTGCTGCTCAGTTTTTGTATATATTATTAAAACAGTGGAAATTCTAATTATATAGTAATTTAAATTTAAATCTATTTAATTTCACAAGGGGAACATGTTTTGGTCCACTACCTACCCAAGCGCCCATACTACCTAGAATAATTCTAGTCTGTCTAGACAGAACCAGACCAGTTTTTCTTACACGCCGTATAACTATGCATACACTAAACTACTTACTAACTACTTTAACTTTATAGAGTCTCTCTTATATTCCCGACAACAGATAAGATAATATCCAGCGTTCGGCTGGAGAGAGTTTTATGTAATAAATTGGCGGGATTTTCACGAGCTTGTTTCAGTCAGAGCTGAGCGCTTGTACGGAGAAGTCATACGAATTGCTTAACCGCCTTACAATGAGTTTGGGTCTGCTACTGCTGATCGGCCTGGGCACGCTCATCTTCTGGCTATATAGACTTAATAAGGAATACTATGTGCTGGCCTTCTTTGCCCAGCGTGTGCGAACTAAAGATGGACGACCTCTGGAGAGTATAGCACCGATAGCTGAAGGACGAACTATATTTGGAAACTCTTTCGATTTGTATGGCAGAAATGATGGTGAGCATAAATCTACCCAAACAAATCAAAACCGTTGTCTAAGCCTCATTCTTAGCTGAGGTATTCACCGATCTGCGTGCAAAAATCAAGAAAATCGGCCGCAGCTATATAGAATATGCCATGGGCAGAGCCAAGTTCTGCATAATTGATGCCGAGAACTTCGATAACATATTGAATGATCAGAATATGATATCCAAAGGACTCGGATACCAATTTTTGCATCCCTTTCTACGCACGGGTCTATTGACCTCAACTGGTGAGCTGAGCACAGTTGGTATAAGTACAGTTTTTCAGTTATCTCTGATTAATATTTCCGCGATTCAGGTCAGAAATGGCACTCAAGACGCAAGATGCTCACGCCCACATTTCATTTCAATATTTTAAGCCAATTTGCAGAAATTTTCAAGTAAGTCTAATAAATTGAAAAAATAGTGGTTTTATACCATTTTCCATTTGTTGTAATTGAAATAATCTTTATAGAACTGAAAGTTTTAAATTCGTGAAGCAATTTGAGGGAAAGGACGAGGTCTCTATCTCCCTAAGTGAACTTATACCAAGGTTCACTCTCAACAGTATTTGTGGTAAGTTCATTAAGCTGAATGTTTACTGTAGTTCATTAATCAATATTCACCCACAGAGACAGCCATGGGCATCAAGCTGGATAACATGGCGGCCAAGGGGGATCGCTATCGCGAAAACTTCAGCATGATCGAAAAAAGATTTATCAGCCGCATAAGCAATCCCATATATTGGAATGATACCATTTATCGCCTCTTTGGAGCCAGCAAGGACAAGCAATTCTTAGAGGAAGTCCACGGTTTTTCTAGTGCAATAATAGCCAAGCGTCGAAAACTTTTGGCAGAAGAAATTAAAGAGAAGAAAAACGATCAAGAAGCAATTGATGATATGTAAGTGAAACTTTATCGATTATCACGGTTGATATATATTTCTAATAATAATACTAGTTATATCAACAAGAAACAACGCTTTGCCATGCTGGACACTCTGATCTTTGCGGAAAAGGATGGCTTGATTGATCACGTGGGAATTTGCGAGGAGGTGGATACGCTCATGTTTGAGGGCTTCGATACCACTTCAATTGGTTTGATTTTTGGACTTATGAACATGTCATTATATCAAGATAAGCAGGAGCTGTGTTATCAGGAGATAAGCGAACATATAGCTGGTAAAAGATGTCTGAACAGCTTTATATTCAATCATTATCCTATACACAATATCTTTATTATCGTAGATGATTTCAGTAACTTGGATCTTAATCAGCTATCCAAACTAAAGTATTTGGAGTGCTTTATTAAGGAGACGATGCGACTGTTTCCCTCGGTGCCCATTATGAGTCGCATGGCAGTAAAGGAGACCGAACTGCCCAATGGTCTGATATTACCGCCGGGTGCCGTCACTATGCTGCATATCTATGGGCTGCATCGCAATCCCAAGTACTGGAGCTCACCTGAGGAGTTCCAGCCCGAACGCTTTCTGCCCGAGAACAGTAAAGACCGTCATACCTATGCCTTCATGCCCTTCAGTGCGGGCCAACGCAATTGCATAGGTAAGTTTGACTGCGATATATATGTGAATAGTTCTTATTTATTATTATATGCTGCTTCTCAGGTCAGAAGTATGCCATGCTCGAGATGAAGACACTGCTCATCGTAGTACTGAAGAAGTTCAAAGTTTTACCTCTCATTGATCCCAAGGATTTAGTTTTCCAGACTGGCATCACATTGCGTTGCAAAAATAATATTAAAGTCAAACTAGTCAAACGTGTTTAGGGTTAAACTCTTTACTTAAGTGTAGCTTATTTTCTCCTTTATATTTTAGAATGGATTGGAATATAAATATTTATTGTTTCTAAAATCTTCAAAAAATGTACCATCTAATAAATTTCTTAAAGTCAAAGACTTGCTTATGAGAAACTCTTAAAACTGCGCCCAGTCAACAGTCGTTGTTTGGTTTTGGGCTGATAATCGTTGGCAATGGGCCACTGTTGGCAACTGCAGCTGGGCCATGCACTTGCCCCGTCTGCCCCTTGCAGCTGCAGCTGTTCTATAAATCATTCATGCACAGCCAAGCAAAAGCAGTTTTCCCACAATGAACAAGTCTGGTTAGCTCTGGCTGGCTTTATGCAAAACACGCATACGACAGAGCCGAAAACTGAAGAAGACGAGATGCTGAACTGGAGCCAAGACGTTGCCTGGATTCGAGTCATCTTTATCTCTCAGTGCATGCATAGCACATGGCATAATATGCCAGGGACTGGGCAACTGCGAAATGGGAACTGAGAACTGGCGCACGACTAGCTCCTGGGGACTGTGCACCAGGAAGCTGTCTTGGGCGACTTTTTGTCATTTGCCTGCTGCGTTTCTTTTCTTTTCGTTTTTCTTTTTTTTTGCTGTTTTCATCTTCCTTTCTTGCAGTTGTCGCTTTTGATTTTGACAGTTCGTTACTCGGTTATACCATTTGCATGCATAATGCACAGGATAACAGCAGGCCAGTACCAGAAACTGCAACTCGAACTCGAGCTTGAGCTCGGCAGGCAGCCTTAGTGACCAGGCAGTGTGAGACCAGACCAGCTCGTCGCTATCAGTTCCCAGTTCCCAGTTCATGTCCTGCGGGCATGTTACACACATCAACATCAACATCGTCATTATCAACATGATCATCAGCTAGTCATCTTCGTCATCAGCCGAGACACAAAAAATGCCATCAACTACAAGCGAAGAGGGAATTTTCTGCGGCATGCCGCATTGAAGACGCTCTAGAATGTTTTTTAACTGGCATCTTAAACAAGAATATTTTATGCAGTTTTCATAAAAATAAATAAGATATATATTGAGATCTGAAAAATTGACTTTAAAAATATTCCTGTATAAGAATTAATTTTAAAAATGTAAAAAAA